GTCTGTTCTATCACCAGCCTAACTCAAGAGTTATTGATGGATTAAGATGAATTAAAGATGAAAGTGATTTTATTTTGGTGGTGATCGTTATTTGGATCGCCATCTGAATCTAAGATTTTTCAAAGGAGTCTTCTCTTTTGAATGATGGGGCCAATGACCTTGACCTTGTACAGTGGATCAGCTCTCAACTACCACAATTGAGAGGGTGTCTGCCCTTTCTGGGTGATTTTCTTGTTACGATTGATTTATTAATCAGTTATTATTTATCAAACCCATCAGGTGATCCACCATGTCCATGAAGCTGATCCGCGCAAGCAGCGGCACGTACAATGTGCGTGCGGAGGAGATGGCTCGGGATCGTCCCCAGATGAAGACTGTGAAGTGCATTGTGCACTTCTTGGATGAGACCAAAGAGTCATTTGAGGTGGATGTAAGTATGGGACTGGACTGTAGGTGGCTCTGTTGGTGAGGTCCCCCAACTGTAGGTGGTGCTGCTGCTAATGTATGCAAGACAAAATTGTCTTAATTCTCTTAACATTTATCTGACTTTTGGTGAAAAGATATTTAATTTAAATGTTTTTTGCTTCAAACAAATTAATTTAAGATAAATGCCCTCTAAAATAAGTTGCTTAGGTACCATTTTAGCAGCTATGCAGCAATGCTATGCATTTTTCATGTTGAACAAACTTAATTTGTGTGTAGATATGTCTATGTCTGATAATGACCATTATGGTATGGCAGCGAATGCTTGTCATTAAATTTTGAAATGAAATTCCTTAAATATATAGATATGCAGAATTCTAACCAATAGTCCTTTTTCAAACAGAGTTTAGAGAACATCACATATGTTTGTCATGCTCAAGTTCCAGTCAGAATGATCACTTCTGAAGGAATCTTTCGTTTATTATCCCACTTTATAATTTAAGATTGCAATCCTGTTCCAGAAACGTGCGAAGGCCGGAGCATTACTGGACATAGTGTACGATCACCTTGAGTTAATAGAGAAGGATTACTTCGGCCTTCAGTTTGCCGATGTGGCGCCTGCACCAGACGCTATGGTACGTGCTGGGGGCAAGCAAGGACCAACAAGGGTAGATATTGATGTGATACACATAATCACAGGGTGTTGAGTTCTTGCATGGGTTTTTTTTAGTATTGTTTTTTTTTTCTGTGTTTCAGTCCTTGAAATACTAGAAACTGTAGTTAGAGACTGTGTACAGGAGCTGTGGACAGTGTTACCAAGTTAATGACAGCATTACAAAGTTAAGGGCTGCAGTACATAGTTACAAACAGTGTTACATAGTTATGGACAATATAACATAATTATGGACAACATTACAAAGTTATGGACAGCATTACAAAGTTGTGGACAACTATGCAAAGTTACAGACATCATAACATGGTGATGGAGAATATTACATAGTTATGGACAATATAAAGTTATGGACAAATGTACAAATAATGGATGGTATAACGGTAACGGACAGCATTACAGAGTTATGGACAATAGTATAGAGTTAGCAACAGAGCTAGGGACACTACTTTTTATTGATTTTTGCATGGAGGAGTTCATACTATGATAGCAGAGTTTCTTTATGGTGTTTAGTATTTGCATGGCATTAGTGAGATTTTGTATTAATAAGGGCCACTTTGTGTGTCGTTATTTTTTTAATGATTATTCTACTATGATTTTATGTTGCAACACGAGTTATAGAATGTAATGTTTGTCTAGCATTATTTTTTTTTATTTATTTTTTCATTTTCATGTGCATCTTACTACAATAACCATAAATGTAACTCACAGTTCTATGTAATTAAAAAAAAAAAAATTAGAATGTAATTGTTAGTTTACCTTATTTTCAAAATCAATTTAAACCATTTTTTTCTTCTATGATGATTCTTTCAAAATTAATTTTTAATAAAAGTTTTATTAGACCAATCAGACGTCAGACAAGCTATATCCTATATGATGACATTTTAATTCACAGACGGACTCAAATATTGTCAAGAAATGTGATTTTAGTATCAACCTAAACTTTATTGCTAATAATAATCAGGATACGTTCTCTGGCAAGGAAGGGATAGATTGCTTTTGAAAAAAAAAAAAAAAAGAAGAAGCAGAGTACTTATGTACTTTCACTTATCTTAAGGTGACCTCATATTCCCAAGCTGAAAGAGAGAGGACAATCGATGTGCCCATGGAAGTTAACATATCTTTTTTCTTTCTGATACAAGTTGAGGGCAGAGCGCATTTTTACTGTTTTCAAATAACAAAGTATTCATGAAATCAAGTGAAAAAGGCCATGTTTATAAAGCAGTTCACAGTCATGAAAAAGTTTATCTTTGACATCAAAATAAAATGCAGGTTGTCACATTGTACTGATGGGGCTATTCAGAGTGAGTTAGGTAGACCTAGCTAGTGTGATTTTACTAAATTGGGACTCTCGCTGAAAGAAATCAGATAAAGAAATGAACATGCCTCCTTGCATTGAGTAGAATACAGAAAAGCTGGTGTTTATACAAGAACATTGAAAACAAGAGGAGGGTTGTTAATCCGTCAATCTTACTGCACTCAGCGAGAGCTCCTTCAGAGTAGGAACGCTCTAGGCAGACCTAAAGTTCCACTCGGAATGAACCCAAAGTCACTGTTAACACGCAGCCCTCTTTTCTGACACCCAATACTGAGAAAGTACTTCATGTATTTAGATGACAAATGTCATTTTCTCACAAATCAGATATAATTTCTGGTGACATTTTAGAGAGATTATCTCCTTTCTGAAATGTCACTTCCTGACTGAAGTGAGAGCTATAGTAGAGCTTGTGCTGTCATATTTCCTAATTGGCTTAGGGGAAGTTAATGATGTATGCCAGAGAACGTGATCCCATAGATCCCATACCTACGTCATGATAGGTTGTGCTCTTATGAAATGTGTTTTATGTAATTTTTTCTGCCTTCTCTGCACTGTATAAAAAAAAATACCATTACACAACTGACATTGTACTAATGGATGAAATTAAATTATATTATGTAGAATTATAAAACAGTTGTTATGTTGTAAATTTAATAATTTTTTTCTTTTTCTCCATAGAGATGGCTGGATCCTCTGAAGAACCTTAAGAAACAGATACGACGTAAGTTCCTTCATTTCTGGTCTTAGTCACTTCAGATAGGTCAAGTAACCCATCAAAGACAGCTTTTAATACAGTCAACTTTAGGAACTTGAGCTAATTGTAGTATTGATGAAGTTAATTGTGTATTTGATTATATCTATATATGTACAGCACTGTGGCATAGCTACTTCCAGTCAAGTTTCATTTTTGAGAAATTGGAGGAAATTAATTTGGTTTTCTTACTGGTATCTCACAGGACTTGATGCCTAGTGAGCACCTTGGGTTCTGAGGTGATTTTCTATATATACAGTGTTATACAAAAATGACTAAACTGGTTTATTGTCTATGAAATGAACTGCTTCTTTATAGTATGTCAGTATATGAAATCTGTTTTTAAATTAGATAAATTAGCAAAAATTATAAAGTTTTTCAAGCATGGCTGCTGTTGCATCTGGCTCAAAAATAAAGCAACCCCACTTGAACAAAAGCCATGATAAGGCTTATGTGATCAAAATAAACCAAACACATACAACCTGGTTTGAAATACATTGAAATTTCAGGTATGAAAATTAACTTTTTCGACTTGAAATTCTTTCTGAACCTGGGCCCTGTGTGGAGAAAACAATAGTCTTGGACCTTAACTGATCTCTGTGACTCGGGGTGGAACCCTGGTGTCTTCAACTAATTACCAGATTATTACTGCCTCCAGATCAATACCTAATATCTCATATATCTGTCATGGGGTATTAAGATGGACTCCAATATCTTGGACATCGGGGTCAGTCGGACCGTAAATTCTCTCTGAATTCGAACGAAATGTTTTTTCTTAATAACACATTTATCAATGCAGTTGATTTGTTAGTGGTTCCTGAAATTGACGATTTTTAAGTTTTGAAAAAATTATATGTTATTAAATACTTATGTGGGATGAATATTGAAAATGAAAGAAGGTTTGAAAAAGAATTGTTCGAAATTTGTTTATTATCACAATTTTTTCTAATCTGTTTACTTCCTAGGGTCCAGCACTACGAGCCTATCAGCCTGATATTTAATAAGATAAATGGTATTTTGTGATGTAAATCAATAATGCACTTTACGTATTGAAGGTCATTTTATACTCCTTGGAATTTGCTGGAAGTTGTGTCCCTGTATTATTTGGGTGCTTACAGAAGGTGTGAGTTTCCTGATTGGATAACTACAGTAAGCAAAATAATTATAAATAAATGAAGTTTCTGTTTTATTAGGTTTCCAGTCAACATACACTTCTAATATACTGATGAAACTACAAATTACCTGGAGAACAAACACAGAATATGCGATGCCAGCTTTGGTATACAATTAGAAACAAGAAAAGAACCATAATAGAATTTTTTTTTTCAGTTTTCAGTTAGACTTCTTTACACACTACTGTGCCAAGCAGTTCGACCAAGATTAATGAATTTATTTCAAAGAATTGTCATTTTGGTCTTTATTTTTATCAGCTTGCTGTTATATGTTTTCCAGCTTTCCTGGGTTACTGTGAACCAATCAGATGTCCAGGCCAATTATGAAATATCACGAAGGAATTATCAAAGTGAAAATGATTTACCATAAATGTTTATATTTCTTTCTTTTTTTTTTTTTTTTTTCTCGTTGGTCAAATTGCAGTAGGTCCGCCGTACACACTAGAATTTGCAGTCAAGTTTTACGTCTGTGATCCATGCAAGTTGACAGACGAGTACACCAGGTAGAGCCACTGTGTATACAGGGTCATGTGTACACACATATATTGGCGAATTCTTTATTATACTCACTGGGCTCACTCTGGGCAAAGGCTCCTTTATATAAGCAAAATCGATGGTTGAATCAGGCCAAAAAAAAAAAAAAAGCCCAATGAGAAATTTGGCTAAATATCCATTTATGGTTGAAATGTGCTGAGCCAGACTGGGTCCAGATTTGATGCTTGCCAGAATACGCACATGGAATAGTCTGAGGCTGATAAGGTGTCAGGAGACGTTTTGAATGTTTATGGGATGGTCTACCTAATATGTTTACAAAACAATCTATTGCTTTTAGAGGTTCTTTCAACCTTGGCAAATCATTGGAAGTGGTCTGTTAGGAATGTGTAAAATTGTATAGGTTTGTATTTCATTTTCATCCTGATACTGTTCTTCAGCATAGATACAAGCCCTTCATAGATAAATCCTCAGAAAAAAGTGTATGAGACAGTGAATCATAGCAGATGGAATTATTTCTATAATACCACCTCAAACTCCCCTTGTTAAGAATACTACCAAGAACTTGGTTATAATATGCAACAAATCGTACAGTTTGTAGGAATTCCTTCTGTTTATCGTTCTAAGAGTTCTCAGTGCTGCATGTGGGCAGACATTTGTCACCTGTGCATTACTGCATAGTTGATAACCTTCAGCATAAATACGAACAAAAACATGCCACTCGAACAGTTGAAACTGGCATGAAATGGCCAGATTACTTTTATTACTTGGAATAATTTGACAGATGCCTAGACTGAATGTGACACTTAGATTCACAGAAATCTGAATTCGTAGATAACCCTTGCCACAGTCTGGCTATTACCTACACTGCAGATATGAATTTTGTATTTTATTTCTCATGGGATTAAAGGAATATTAATGTTTGAACAGAAGATACAAAATGCAAAAATACAGTAAAAAATTATTTATCATCGTAAATGCAGTATGTAATTTTAGGTGTCATCATGACTAGGCAATAGAATTTTTCACCAGGCATCTAAAAAAATGATGAAGGTCATTCTTCCCAAGACTTTCAAGGCTCAGTTCATCATCCCTTTAATCAAATTGCCTGGATGTTTCTAAGTTTCCAGAGAAATTTGCTGCTCCATCAAGGGCTGGTTTACTGGGATAGACGCCCGTCTTTTATGCCCTTGTTTCAATTTTCTCATCCATTAATAGAACAGCATGTGCTTCCTGGTAGGGCTACAAAAAAGTCATTTAGAACTGCACGTAATTTCAAGATGAATAGCTGAACTCCTGGAAACCACTGGAATTGTTAATGCTGCAGTCTTCATTGTTGAAGTAAATAATCTGTGGCCAACAGAATGAATAGCTAAATGCCTTGAAATTACAGGAGTTCTTAGTGCACTCGTACTTGCTGAAGTAATGAAGCTGTGACTGAAAATCAGTCTTACTTTTTTTATTGAATTTGAACATGTGTAGTGTGTATCCTGAAACAATAGCCTGTAAGTGTTTAATATATTGAGGAATGAAGTCTGAAGTTTTAGTTTAAATCATTTTTTTAATGAGATATTTTGAATTGTTTAAAAAAAGATGTTTGAAAAAGGGAAAGTGTTTGGCCCTTGGAAATTTTATCTGGTTTGGGTAGCTGTATTTTGCTGCCTGTTTTTGAAATGACTATATAATAAATAGCATAAGGGAATGATATGACTTTGACCTCTTACTCAAAGAAATGAAAATAAAAAATAGGTTAACAAATACAACAGGAAAGAATGAAAATATTAATTATTAAGAAACAAAGATACTGAATGGATAAGGAAGAAATAAGTTCTTTATAAAAGGTCTTCTTGACATGTAGAAATTGCCTGTTGTAGACTTTTCTTTACGCAATTCAGATAAATTGGATTAAATTTAGTGAAAATTGAATTGTAAGAAAAAAAAAAAGAAAAATCATAAGAGACACCTTATATGGGACCAATTCCACGTGTGTATATATGTGTGTACATTACTGTTTACATATACTATATTTACTTTTTCAGTTTTATTTCAACTTTCCTCTTTTTCTTTTCCCTCCTGTTTCAGTTGGTCCGCCCTATTATTTCCAGTTTGGGGTCAAGTTTTATGTGTCTGATCCCAGTAAACTGAGTGAGGAATACACAAGGTAAAGTGGGATAGTCCCGCACAGAATCACTTGTAGGCTTCTGATTGGATGGCTGTGTCACATGATTCTGCATGTGCTTGCTTACTGGCTTTGGTCACTCTTGCCACTATTTAAGAGATATCTCTTCCCCCCCCCCCCCCCCCCTGCCACCCCACAAAAATGTGTTTGTGCTTGCTGTTTCATAAGAAATCTTAAATTCTTGATGGCAAACTTGTTTCGACTTTTTTAAAAACTGCTTACAGTCTCAGTGTATGGCTTCTTCCAAACTTTCTCTGTGCTTTGCTCTTTTTACTTGACATCTTATCGGAACTTTTTCATGCGATGCTATGTCTGCCAGCTTTTATTGTTTTAAGCTTGTGCAGGAATGACTACATGGTCCATCTGCTGTTCTCCAATACCTTGAGCTGAACATGTGGTTATAGCACTTGGTCACATGATGTGCTGCTTGAAAGCTTTTGATTGGTCAGTTCTAGCATTTGACAGCCGTGTTCAGAAGCTTAGTATATCATTTTGTCAGCATTCTGGTGATTTGTGTCTTTTTACTGGTAAGCAGGCTGAGTCTTGGAACTGGTTTTTCAAGCCACTCTGTATCATGTGTTAGAAGGTATCTTTGGTCAGTCATGCGATATAAACTTAATTTGAAGTTTTATGGGTGTGGCTCCCAATGCACAAGATGTTTGTATAATTTCATATTGTTCAGTTTTTCTCTGCATAAATGTTTTGTTGTGATTTCTTTAATATGTCTATTCGTGTTACTCTGTGCAAGGCTTTGTTCTTCCACCTTACAGAATATGGCAGGTTGCGCCCAAATGTCTAAATGTATGATTGTATTGCTATTATAAACAGAACATGTCCATACCAGTTGATTTGGTTTCATGAATGATAGTTCATCCCATGCATCCACCCCACCCATGTGACCAGGAGACAGTTAACTCTGCCCCCCCCCTCTATCCCCCCTCCCCCCTCCCCTTCAACTCCCTTGACTTGCTCTTTTCTTTGCTGTGCTTTCATGCTCAACTTTGCTTTTACACGCTAATTATCAGTCAATCACTGTTGCTTGGTTCTTCTTTTTTTTTTTTTTTTTGCTTTTTTTCTTGAAGACAAATGAGTATGAATCTAAGTCTACAAGTAAAGAAATTTAAGTCCATTTGTTTTGCCAAAGAAAAGCGTTGCAGCTGTGTTTGATCAATTTAGTATTAAGTTTTTATCTTTTGATCATTTCCATTTCTCCAGCATGTCTGCCGTTTCCCTGTGTTTCAGATACCATTTCTTCCTCCAGTTGAAAAAGGACATATTAGAGGGCAAGCTTGTATGTCCACCTACCACGGCAGCACTACTGGCCAGTTACGCTGTGCAGTGTAAGTAGAGAGAGAGAGAGAGAGAGAGAGAGAGAGAGAGAGAGAGAGAGAGAGAGAGAGGGGAGAGAGAGAGAGAGAGAGAGAGGGTGTGTGTGAGAGAGAGAGAGAGTGAAGGGGAAGATGAAGGAATGAGAGAGAGAGGGTGGGAGGAGAAAGGTTTGATTAGGAGCAGACAGTAAATAATGTGCACAAATACATGAGATTGGTGCTTGCAGTTACGGTTGCATACTGCAAAAGATATTTTCTTTATTTCACTGTGAGGCTACTTATCACATTATTAAGACATGATATATAAAAAAATTACATCAATTTAGCTCTTTGAATGAGCTAGGTGAGTGTATTCAGCCTGTACTCTGCTTGAATTATTTGATTCGTGTTCTTTTTTATGTGTTCAATAAATTTACGAGTAAGCACTTCATGTTTTCAGCTGAACTTGGTGACTATAACCCAGAGGAACACACAGACGGCTATCTCTCAGAATTCCGCTTCATTCCAAACCAGACGGAGAATTTTGAGAGAGAGGTGTCTGAGTTACACAAGCAGCATAAGTAAGTTTGAGGATGATAAATATCAGGAAAACTGTTACACATTGGTACATCTGGGTTTGAGCAAGTATATGGAGTATTATACAAATGATGAACATTTGTACAAATGATGTACATTTTTGGCTAAGGAAAAAATGTTTTTGTTATTCTTGCAAAATTAGTCATAAATCTAATCAACATTTTTAATTTGTTGAAAAAATTGTAGCTATTTGCTTAAAATACATTTTATTATATGATCAACCATGATATTAATGTATACTTTTTTTTTTTCGTTATTAATTTGACGATTTGGTGTGAATATCAGGTGAAAGTTTCTTAAGCATTACTGTGGGAACTTAAAGAAAAAAATTACTTGGATGATTGCTACACACCTGAAGGCGTAATGTTAAAAAATTGAAGATTCTTTGTATCACTAGCAACACCGATGATATCATGAGTAAGCTGGTGACATCATTAACAAAATCTATGACATCACAAGCAAAATTGATGAAGTCACATGCAGGATTGATGATATCACAAGCAAACTTGATGAAGTCACATGCAGGATTGATGACATCACAAGCAAAATTGATGAAGTCACATGCAGGATTGATGATATCACAAGCAAACTTGCCTGTAATTTCTCTCCTCTTCACTCTCTACAGGGGTCAGATGCCTGCAGACGCTGAATATAACTACTTAGATGTTGTAAAGCGATTAGACATGTATGGTGTAGACGTCCACTTGGCGAGGGTAAGGGTAAGCACCACTTTATTGCCTGTAGAAGTAGTAGCCGGTGTGTTTGGGGGGGTGGGGGGGGGTGAATAATACAAATGTATTAAGATTTTACTAAGACCATTTACACATGACCTGGAGATTTTGAGTAGTATAAGCTGTGGGAAATGTGCTATGGTGGCCCTTGTATAACATCTGGTTAAAGCTCTGCATGTGGGCCTCCATGTAACACTAACTAAGAACTAGGGTGTAAAGCTTATATCACGGGAGGGGGGGGGGTGCTTGCTAAGAGTTCTTTACATCATGTATTAAGCCCTGAACCCTGGCCCCTTGTTATAGGGTACATACTATGACCCTTGTTTATCACCTGACTGGCCTGCACTGTATTGTTATCAACTTACACAAGACACTATTTCAAGGCTTAGATATCCTTAGCTCTTGGCACTAACAAATTATAAAGAGTATTAATTGAGAAAATAGTCATTCTACCTGCAAACTGCACAATATTAAAATGCTTGCACATTTTTGATTTTTGCTCTGCTGTGTTAAGACACGGGTTTTACAACTGTACACAGTGTTATAATATAACCAAAGCTTTTTAATACCATGCACATGACTGTTGTTTGGTTTGGAATTGGTTTGCTGTTTCTTTTCTACTAAAAACAGAGCAAATTTATGTTGGTGATCATTAAAATTTATTTGCTTCAAATCCTGAGTTAAGTTATTACATTTAATATTAAACAAAATACTTCTAGTAAGTGAGTTTAGTAAGTTTTTTCTTTAAAAAATTGTGAAATTGAAAGTATTAGATATTAAGCTAAAATCATGAAGGCATTAACCCTTTCAAATGTTAAACATGGTGTAGACTGCACCCTTGTTGGTGCCAATAACTGTACGTTCTTATGAATTCTCTATTAGCATAATTTGTTCTTTCTTCAATGGCAAAATTGATTGAATATTGATTTTTTTTTCATCACTCAGGACCAAAGTAACATGGACATCCAGCTGGGTGTGGCGTCAGCAGGACTGGTGGTTTTTCAAAATAGTGTAAAGATTAATACATTTTCCTGGTGAGTTTTAGAAAAATTTCGGAAGGGATCTTTATTTAAAAAAAAAAAAAAAATATATATATATATATATATATATATATATATATATATATATATATATATATATATATATATATATATATAAAGATGGTGAGAATAATATGAAAAAGTTGAATTCAGAACAATTATAAAAAAAATCAAAACAGATTGATCTCCAAGATTTACAGAAAGTATTCATGTGGAATATGGAGAGTTATAGATTTAGTCGGTGATATTTGGAAAGCAGGTTAAAGGGTTAAAGTGAAAAAGAATGTTAAGGTAAATTCATTAACGTAGACTTTAAAAGGAACTTCATGGCAAGGCTAGCAGAATTTGTTCATACTATTTTTATAAAGTTTGCTGGCATTTGAACTGATTTTAAGAGTAAAAAAATGTTATTGTATGAAAAAAAAAATAGACAAAGTGCTACGCATATAATGCATGTTAAATCAAATCTAAATTGATTTCCTCCATTTTTTTTTCTCAGGGCGAAAATAGTGAAAATATCTTTTAAAAGGAAACAATTTTTTATCCAACTCCGACGAGAGATAGGAACTAACAATGTAAGTACTGGGAAAGAGAACTCCTTTCAGCTGGAAGCATGCTATGTAACCAGACTGTGGTAATAACTCCTCCTTTTAAATGGGGCAAAATGTGAATTTTACAAATACTGTATTTCTAAGTCATAATTTATTCAAATAAGAACATTCTTATCGAGTGGTAGCAACAAAATTAAAAAGCAGGGTCTTCAGTTGTTCTCTTCTATGCAGTAAAAACACCACATATTCTATACAGAAATATAAATTTTTTGATTACAAAATTATGTATCTGGAAGTTGGATAATTTTTTGCCCATTGAAAAGATCGAGTAATTACCATAATTCAAACAGAGTTTTTCCTCAGATGACATTCCCATTAGCACTCTGGCAGAGATTTCAGCTTGAGTACCTAGTTAATGGCCCATTACAGGTGTTTTGATGTCTTAATGCCATTTTAATATTGCAGTATACTTGAAAGCCAATTTGCCAGTCAGTTCCAACATTAATGCTCCACACAGCTTTCCTGTTCTCTCTTGACTACTGCCTCTCAGTATTGAATATGTTGCCTGATTCCATTTGGAATCTCAGTGAAAGCCTTAACAGCAGTGCTTTCCCTAGAGAACCATCCTGGGTAATGAAAGGTTGGGGACTTGACTTGCATGGGTGACACTCCCTGTAAAATTGGTGACACCATTACAGGTTCACATTTTGGGCTCACTGTATTCTGAATTCTTTTGCTTCACACAAACTCTTCTGCTTCGCAAATACTCTCCCTCCATAGACTTATTAACTGTTATGATGAAATGATGGTGTATGTGAAGCCTGCTTATTGTGGATTCAAGGTTTTAACACTTGCCTCAGTATAACATCTGTTTGCCATGGTGACGGAAACCCACTCATTGGGATAAATTGGCAATTTGAGGCGTGATTTGTGACTCTGTTGTCATGGTTCCTGTGTCAGTAGTTTGTTTTACTTAAACTTAAATCTTTGAATATCAGGAATTTTTAAATTCCAGCAATAGTCTTTAAATCCATTTACTCTGGTACAAGACTTGTTTTTAATATTAATTAATATGATTGTGTTTCTTTTTATGTCTTCAGAACGACAACATAGACAACCTCATCGGTTTTTACATGACAAGTTATCGGTCGTGTAAAAACTTGTGGAAATCTTGCGTAGAGCATCACACGTTCTTCCGATTACACAAACCCAATCCTCCCATTAAGAAAAAACTTTTGTCACTAGGGTCAAAGTTCAGATACAGGTATGTAGCCTTAGAGACCATTCCCACAGATATTTAGATGGATCTTTCCCCCTGGGGAGTCTCACTAGATTGTTGTCAGGTTAACCAGATTAAATGTCTGCCCCTTCTACGAAAAGCTGTAAAGGGTAATTAACTTTAGTGCACGCTCGGCACCTGGAAGCTGACAGCAATTTAGGATGAATTGATAGCTATTGTTGACCTGTTTATTTGCAAGATGCCTTAACAATGAAAATATTTTTAATCTTCACCAGTAAATTTCAAATTAGCTCTTGTTTTCTAGTGGCAGGACAGAATTTCAAACGTTAGAAGATGGCAAAAGAAGAGCAAGGATAGAAAGAACATTTTCCAGGTATTATATCTTGCTCTGTGTGCTAAACCAAAACTAGAAATTATGCTGCTTGTATTTCAAAGGATTTTAAGAGAGAGAGAGAGAGAGAGGCTTCACAACAAACATATACACAATCTCTTCTCAAACGAATTTCTTGCATTTAGAGAAAATAGCCTTTTTTTGTGGTTTTATATTCTGCAGTGTAGAACATCCATTTCTTTCGTGCCCTGGTTGCATGTCTCCAGCTGGAGAAATAATCCATCTTGGAAGTGTCTGGTTACCAGGTTGATCTGTAGATCTCATTACTTAGAGATGGTGTGGGTGTTGAGGTGTGGTTTGTTAGCAGTGAGAGAGAGAGAGAGAGAGAGAGAGAGAGAGAGAATGGAGGGGGAGAGAAGGGAGAAAGGGGGGAGAGAGAGAGAGAGAGGGGTAGAGATAGAAAAAGAGAGGGGGGTATATATATATATATAGAGAGAGAGAGAGAGAGAGAGAAAGAGAGAGAGGAGTAGAAATACAAAAAGAGAATGGAAGAGAAAGAGAAGAGCCAGAGAGGAAATTGAAATGAGACAATATGCTTCCAAAGATCAATGCTGTAAACATGTCATGTCATGAAAGTGGTAGGATGTATCCCATTGTGGATCTCAAATGTAACAGATATAGTGGCTTTGAAAACCACTTATGCAGAAATCTGTCTGAAAAAGAGCACATTGTTGTTTTCTGTAGTTCCTGTGGGAGTACAAAGGCTGATATTAAGGGGCCCGCACACGGTGAGCATTCAGCGCGCGCCACTTGCGTCCAGATGCTCGCGCTCCTCAGCTCCCCGCAAACGATGCGCTCTTTGCTCAGCAGAGATGCCTCCCGGACTGCCCCTATCGGACGCACCGCGAACTGTGGGATCATGTGATTAAGGAAACATTACATATTTATTTTTTTTCTGAAAGTAATGGCAAATGGTGACCACGTTAATCAATCAGACTAACTATAACTGTGTACATTTTTGTTTACTTCGCTGGAGGCTGCCATTTTTCTTTGTTTCCGGCTACCGGCACATGCCCATTGTTGACATGGCATGAGCAATGGGCGCTTGCACCCCGCACACGCTGAGACATTTGCCTCAAGAGACCAAAAATATCAAACACGTGAGATATTTTGCTAAGCCGTGCGAGAGGCAAAAATCTCACCAAAATAGCCCCGCACACGATGAGAAAACGGCGCAGTGCAAGTGGCGCGCGCCAAATGCTCACAGTGTGTGGGCCCCTTTAGACTTTTGTCAACCTGATGTACATACTCAGTGTCTTCTTCTCTCTGTTGAGGTGTGTGTGTGTGTTTTTCCTTATGTAGATAATTTTCTAATTTAATAATAATCTTTATTAAGCACTAAAATGTGTACAAGTTACATTTTACAGGCCCTCTATTCTAATCATAACATCTTTATAAATACAAAATATATATGGAATGGTTATTGGGAAGTGAGTAATTTAATACTGACTAGGGCCATTTCGTGGTAGTTACCAATATTTTGGGTATCCTTCCCAGTAGATAGTATGCTGTGATCTTCCAGTTGTGCCCATTGTGTTGTCTCACCTGTAGCATTCCAAGCTGTGAGAGGTTTTATTCCCTTCATGACAGGGTAGGGTAATGCTAATATATCACACATAATGAGCTGAATAATTATCTTGATACTTTTCTCGTGCATTAAAAGTCGTTATGTTGATTTCAATGGTCTATGGAAATTTAAATTGCTAATTTGATATGACATTTCTTCTGGATGCAATATTCATAGTACGTAACTGAAGATGCATCTAAAGGAGTACTGTGACGTTAGAACCAGTTTGTTGAATTAAAGCTCCGAGACAAGAACAAAGTTAATAATCAAGAATGACCTTGAGCATTTAAGAGGAGTTTGTGAACATTAATGTGGCATGTGATGTTAAAACCTTGTATAACAAATTATGCTAATATAGGTGATACATTTGAGAAAGATAAGCTGGTTTTATTCTACAATTATGGAGAGTTAAAATAATTTTATCCCTTTAGAATGAAGCATTTGAAGTTGATAATAAAGTCCATGTAGTATTATACCTTAATATTTTGATTATAAAAATAGAGCAGTAAATTTTAGTAAATCAGCAACTAACAGTGAAATTGTTGTTCACCGACTTTTCTTATCCGATTATTAAATAACTGATCTTGATTGAAGATTAAGAAAAAAGAAAAAAAAAGCGTCTAATTCCAACTATGACAATATCATCTGGCTTGCCTCCCTAACTGGATTACTGTGCTCCAGGGGCTGAGGAATTGCTACTTTCACTAAGCTTATTCCGCCCACAGACTGGTGGAGAGGCTCTCAGGGACAGAATCCAAGTAGCAGTGGAAGTCGAAGAAAGACGCAGCTCCAATTGATACACATGTATTTTTTTATATGACATTGATCAAACTTTGTGGTGTCTCACAAGATATTTTTGAAGTGAGAGTCGTCACTATCAGCTGATATGATTTGATGATAATCAAGGGCATGGGTTGCTTGTTTATTTTTTTTTCTTCAAAAGTTTGAGCTGGTCCCTTGTCTTAAATCCATGCCTAATCCACCAAGGTCTAAGCCTTGTGTTAAGAAAGAGGAAGGCCTTTTTTTTTGTCTTAAATATCACATTGATTTACAGGGATGCGTGGAAAACTGGGGAGATTTAAATAGCAGGACATTTTAGCAATTAGTAATGAGGAACAGGTTGCTACGTGTTTCTGACTCCACTGAGAAAAACATACTCTCCGTAGTGCATCAACATGCATGCGCGTGGGCATGCACACAACATGCAGCTGACATGGAAATGTGTACATATTCATGTTCACACACATTTACATTAACACACATGAAAACATTTGCACATGCATACTATAGTGGCCATTAGATAATATGTCTGTGTGTGTGTGTGTGTGTGTGTGTGTGTGTGTGTGCATTCATGCATACAGTGATTTCTATTTCAATTCCACATAGAGATTCAGTTGACTGTATAATATCATATTAAATTAACCTCATTACTGAGTCACCACCCATGTCTGGCAGGCTTTCAGTGGGTGGAATTATATCATGACTCCATAATGACAGTAACCTCTTACATCAGCTTACCTCAACCAGGGCTCTGATGACAGCTGGGATGAAATGAGTTTATGTAGGGAGAAAATATATAACGGTGATAATGCGTGATTATTGTGCCAGATTACGCCAGCCAGCAGTAGACTGTAAATCATTACCATAGCAGTGCCTTGTGATGACAGTGGTTTATAGTGAAGCAGTTACATTGGACATTTATTTGAAATGGATGGTGAAAAAGGTTTTGCATCTTGTGGATTGAACTTATTTCTTTATTTATTCATTTATTTTTTTTTTATTTATTATGTTATATTTATTTTGCTTATTGACTATTATTTTGTTTATTGGTTATTTGAACAAGGTGCAGATGAAAGTTTACTTCTGCAGTATTGGGTTATTTTTTACCACTTTTGTGCAAGTTAAGAAGAGTTGCACACAGTGGAATTTTAATTTACTGAAGTGTAACTTATAAAGCTATGAGAGATTTTAATCTCTTTTTAAAAATGAGTTATGTTGAATTTTTCCTTTAAATTTCCAGGTCACCAAGTAAACGATACGCAAGACGCACTGTAGGTGGCACCACCAGAGATGTGATAATGGACGAAAAGAATGTACTTGACGGATACAGGAACGCACCAGTCAATAATGGACCAGTCAATAACCATGTCAAACAGTCCAGGTCTATGAACAGTACGATAAACTTAACCAGGAATTATGATGGTTATGGAAGGTCACCAAGGTCATCTTTTCAGGATTATAGGCGGAAGAGCAACACGCAGTGGTCAGACAACCAATCAGAGCCAGAGTAAGTGCTTAGCAGTAGCCAATCAAAAATGATAACGAAAGAACACAAATCGTGTATAGTGTTACATAACTGTGCCTGTCTCTGCAACGAGATTTCTCAGCTTCTGGTTCTAGTAGAGTGATTTCAATTAAATTAGAATATGCAGAACATTTCACTATAATTTTAGAGAATTAGTCTAGCAATGGAGTACAAACTCCACCCCCCCCCACCCCCCCCCCCCCACCCCCCACTCCCCTCAAGTTCATAGAAATGGAAGCTACATGGTAAACATGTTATGCCTTTGGTAGCAATTCTCCACACTACTTTATTGATGTTTGGCTTCCATTAGGCGTGATTGGAAATCAGCAGGCAAAGTGCAATTTGATTTCGCTTCTAAACTAATTTCAAGTCTGCCAGAAAACCACGTAATGATGGTTGATTTATCATGTTTTTTTTTTTTTTTTTTCTTTTTATGAGAAATGAAATTCTGATGATAAATGACAGGGAAATAGGTCAGTTCTTCTCACGGAAACTTAAAAAGGCGTGTTCACAATGAAGCCAGGAGAGACGGTTTGTCTCTCCTGGGGATGGTTGGTGTAAATCAATTGTCTGAGGAAAATCAACTTGCCAAAGACAGTTATTATCTCTGAATCTCTCTGCTGGCATTGGTGTCCATTAGTGGGCGGGGCACGTCACTGACCCTTTGGAACAAGGAGATTAGATTTGGTGCAAGTGGTGGGCTCACACTGAAGCTAAATCAGGTGGCCTGTCTGAAAGGTTGACCAAGAAGGGTAGGCCTTAATTCAGTGTGAATGTGACTGTGATTTGATGCACCCAAAATCAATTTTCCGTTGCTTTGAGTTACAAAGCAGACTTTGATGGACTAATTCAAAATCAATAAATTCCCAAAATTTTCTCTTTTAAATAAATAACTTATAAAGATATCCATGTGTCTATCCACATAAAACAAAGAGAAATGAGAGAAATACACATTTAAGCACTGTCAAATGCATTTTTAAAACTTTGAAGATGAAAGTTGTCCTTGATGTTTTTCATTTGGTTTTATCAGAAGAAACTACATTAGGCTGATTTGCCGAAAGAACATATTTATCATGGATATTAGAAATTATGACAGATGTGAAAAAAAAAAGACCAGTGCCTTATAACTCTTCAAAACAGCTAGTGGTCACAGAGAAATTTACACCTACAGATGTCATGTCTTTTCTGATGAAAAGGGAATACCGTTCTTATTTGTCTCATTTGGATGTAACACTTCTCAAGGTCTTGCATTTGCATTTTTTTTCAAAAGCATAAGTTGTCAGATATTACAGTGGCAAATTCAGCAGGGACACAACACGCAGGAATGGTCCTGTTTTTTCTCCAGTCGTAAAATCAATAAGAATCCGTTTTGAAGAAATCCCATCCCTACTTGTCTGTAAAATTATATCAGTTGATGAGACGAGCATGTCTCCTCCAGTTTGGCAAGTTTAATCAAAAGTTAATGAGAAGTGCGTGTGGGTTTGTGGTTTGGAAACTCGGTCAATTCAGCAACCCTTGTGGTGTTTTTATTACCTCTGCTTATGGCTTAGCTACTTCGCCCACTTGCATACTACAAATACATTGTGTTGGAAGAAAATTCAAGAGACACTATGGCTAGTTTGAACTAGGTAGGTTACATATGATACAACTGTGGAGTGTTTGCTTTCCTGACGAAGGATGTGTGTGTGTGTGTGTGTGTGTGTGTGTGTGTGTGTGTGTGTGTGTGTGTGTGTGTGTGTGTGTGTGTGTGTGTGTGTGTGTGTGAGAGAGAGAGCATACTTGTACACACACATGCGTGTGTGTTAGTTACGTAGATAGTGTGGGTATGTTAACTGTTTAAGAAGACAGACTTAATGAAACCAAATTTTGAACTATTTAATGTATGGCAGTGATGGGTTATGCATTTTTATTTATTAAGTAATTTAAATTTTAAGCAAATTTCTTTGAGATTATTTTTTTTTCTAAAGCTAGATAACACTCAGTGCCTATTGTGTTACACTGCTGTATTTCTTATGAGTTTGAAAACATACACCCCTCACCCACCCACCCACTCACCCACCCACCCACTGCCTACCCATCCACCCACCCACCCACCCACTGCCTACCCATCCATCCACCCACCCACCCACCCACTCACCCACCCACTGCCTACCCATTCACCCACTCAAACCTGATACTATTACTTCTGTACAGTAGTTAACCCCAAACAAACTATATAATAGCAGTAAAGCCTGCCTGGCTGCACGCTTAGGAAGCCAGAAGAGAAATCAAGGGCACGGCTCAATTGATAGAAATCTTCCATTTGAGATGGTGTAGATATTTTTTTTGATGCAATGTGAGTCTGAAAGCTAGGACTGCTGCCTGACTGGTGATGTGGAAAACCCCAGAGAGAAATCAAGTACATCGCTTACTTCATAGCCGTCTGGTATTAGATGCATTGTTGTCAAATTGTATAAAGGAGTTTGATCTTGGTGGACATTGCTTATACCAAGTAGCCAGTCATCTTGTGTTGTCTTATGGACATTTTGGGGTATGTTCACAAAAAGATCAACTTGGACTGTGGATAGAACACTAAGCAGAGATTCCCGTCATGCGTCAGACGATCAAAGAGGGGGTAGGCTTAATTTTCACTTGTTCACGCTTCTACAGTTCTAGCCATTTGCTGGTCTGGTAACATTTGTTAGTGGGTTTGTAGTCATAACCTATTTCTTGTGTGAATGTGCCCTGAATTCAACCAGATGTTGGTGTCATTGGGGAGATGACAGTCTCCATTGCTCATTGTATATGTAGCAGTATGTGAAGACAGATGTGGTAGGTTGTGGTGACACAGGTGGTGTATTATAGTTTTATATTTTATGGTGGATTATATGGTTGGACAGAGAAAGAGAGAGAGAGAGGAGAGAGAGAGAGAGAGAGAGAGGGTAAGGGAAGAGAGAGGGAGGGAGAGAGTGAGAGAGGGGGGAGGTTAAGGAGAGAAGGAGAGGGGCAGGAGAGAGGGATGAGGAGAAAAAAGAGAAAAGGAAGAGAGAGTGAGGGAAGGAGAGAGAGGAGGGGGTGAGAGAGGAGGAGAAAGGAGAGAGAGAGAGAGAGAGAGAGAGATGGAGACCATTTGATATCCAGATTCAGTGTGAGGCCCCTTGAATGGGAGCAAGGCAATATATGTATCTGAATCTAACTGTACATGTAGCATAATCAGTATATTCAATAAAATTATCTCAAAACAATGACAATGTACTTAAATTTGGTATGCAATATCAAATGATGCAATGCACCAAAGTTCATTGACCTTTTTTATCACAGACTTATAACCATTCATGGCAGGTTGTGAAAAAGGGGCATCTAGATAAATGTTCATTTCCACATTCAACACCAGCAACCCAGTACATGTTGAGAATATAAATTCTGTCTACATGCAATGCATCTGGTTAATAAACCATCCAGGTTGCTTCATAAATATTTAACACATCTCCTACACTAATGAAGTGGGATGTTTTAGCATTGCCATTAAGTGGTAACTGAGCTACAGACCTTAGGTATATGGGATTTTGGTTGACACCAAAAAATAACAAGTTCAATATGATATACGACATTGTAATCAACTTGTATTTGCCACTTTGGTCAGCAGCTTGCTGCAGAATTATGCTGTAGCTGCTGTTAGAACAATAACATCCCATTTATTACCCCAAAATAATGATATTTTCAATATTGTTCAATATAGATTGTAAGATTAGGAAGTTTAGGAGTTAAACATTTTTATTCTGTGTGTTATGCTAAGCTAAACATATTTTTTTTGCCTCACGTGTATTCTGAATTGTTTTAGCGAAAGATTATAGTCACTAATTACAAATGGATATATATGACTCATGACAAATGACTTGGTCAGTTTGAACATCATACTAGTGCTGCAATACTTACTGAGCCCAGACCAACTAATATTCTCATAAAGATTAGAAATCCCCAGTGAACTCTGGCTGCTATTGGGCAGAAGATGGTAGCAATGGAGGCTATAAGCATGGAGATTCCAAAGACCCATTTTCCACCGAATCTCTCTGCCAACCAACCCCCAGGGATCTGGGTTGCCAGGTAGCCATAGAAGAAAGAGCCTAAAATATGCCCTTGGATGTCCTTACTCCATATGAATTCACCATTCTGAAATAAACAAAAACAGTAATAAAAAAAATGATAATTTGATGTTTTGCAACCAAAGTTTGAGCAAAGACCCCATTCCCAGAGATTTGATCGATCCAACTAGATCGACCTAACTCCCTGGGGGTTCATGCTAAATAGCTGTCAGCTGAGCGGGCACGGAAGTTAATTACCCCCTTACAACTTGTAGTAGGTGGGACGGACATTTAAGCCGGATTTTCTGACAGTAATCTAGTGAGACTCCCCATGGGGATAGATCGATCTAAAATCTATGGGAATGTGCCCAAAGAGGAGCATGTNGAGAGAGAGAGAGAGAGAGAGGAGGGGGGTGTGAGGGGAGTCTAGTGCGGGGAAGGAAGAAGAGAGGGGATAGAGGGAGTAATGTTTAATAGTGTGAACGTGAAAGATGACACTCATTAGCATAGCTGAAAAATGACTATCTAATAGAGATGGTAATGATTACTGAGGGGGAAGAATAATTGAGAGACAAGATAAACCCAAGTAGACATAACACATGGCAGTCGTCATTCCAGCTTAAAGAAGAATTAATGACTTAGTCAACGGTAAAATATATTCCATCCTCATTATTCAAAATTAATAAGTTCATCTGAGTGAAGAGGTCGTCCACTGTCAGTGTGGGCAGAAAGATGAGGCGGGTTTCATTGAATCATCTGTGATCACTTCCTAGATTTCACCACAAGTATTCTCTGATGTTATTTGTAGTTCAATCCATTGATTAATACATCTGTCATAGGACTGGTGGTTATACAGAACCTTGCTTTATGGGATACTATTGGGCTCAGTAAGTAAAAAAAGAAAAAAAGCATAAATATATA